TATATATTTATATATATAAAGATATATTGGATAACAAGGTATTTATTGCCAGAGGTAATTGAAATATCTCTATTTTTATTGTAATGTTACAAACCATTATAGTATATATTTCTGTACATTTCAGTAGCTGGGAAAACAATAGTCCATAACATCTGTGATGCCACATTAGAAATTTATACATGCTATTAATGTGAAGGGATGTAACCCTTGCCAATTTCTTTGCAATGCTCCCCTGTATTGGATCTGCAAGATCGAGTTCTTACACAGGAGCCGAGATACTGGGGAAAAAGTACAGAGCCCTTGACAAAGCTAAACTTTGGACTCATGTTCGCAGCCTAATCCAAAAAATACACAGAAACAAGCATGTATAAGGACAGACAAAATTGTTTTGTTTGTTTGGTTTTCCTTCCTCTAAAGCAAGTCATGCAAAAATGCACAAATATTCGATTCTGAACCTGGGCAATATCGGCAGACAAAACTACTTTAGGAGCCTGCTCTAGCCTGCTCTTTAAAAAGGTGAAATTCCAGTTATGAAAGGTACTTCTCACATCAGTAAGCATTTGTTGGAATAGGCCAATTATTACCCCATTCCTCGAGGTGATCACTGAAGAACTGAAAGCTGGCAAGTAACTATGAGATGGCTGCTTAGATTCGATCTTTGGTTTCTGCTGTTTCAGTTATGGTAGGAGAACACATCAATAGCACAAGCCAGGTTTCTAAGTGCGGTATTTTTTATTCTTGGCTCATCACATCCAGCTTGCACTTTATTTCATAAACTATTTGTATGAATAATTCTGTTTCCTTTAACTGTGGTATTAGCAAACTGTCTGGCAAAGTACAAAGCTGGAAGACATACTGGTGATTTTTTCAAATAACTTTTTAATCTAAGAGGTAAAATGTGCAGGAAGTGCACGTATGGACATTTGGAGATGAGCGTACGTCGTGTTTTTTTCTAGTAACTTATGAGTTCATCTGCTTTTCTAACGTGCCTTGGATTAGTGCCAAATGATGGGAAGAAAAAAAACTAGTAAAATAACTCTTGAAAATGCTATTTTCTTTGAGTGCTTTTTTCAAAGCATTGAGTCTTTTACGCACATTTCCTTGCTTTTGTTTTTGTAGGCATTTGAAGACTTCACCTTGTGTCTATGTGTAAATTGAGGTATCTGTTGCATCTGCTTTTCTAACGTGCCTTGGATTAGTGCCAAATGATGGGAAGAAAAAAAACTAGTAAAATAACTCTTGAAAATGCTATTTTCTTTGAGTGCTTTTTTCAAAGCATTGAGTCTTTTACGCACATTTCCTTGCTTTTGTTTTTGTAGGCATTTGAAGACTTCACCTTGTGTCTATGTGTAAATTGAGGTATCTGTTGGAATTTACTCTCAAGTTCAGTATGACCTTCTTCCCACCTGCATTCATGGATTACTATTATTCGGTTGTGTGGTTTTGGATTTAAGGCAAGGAGGTGTAGAATATAGAATTGTTATTGAATCCAGACGTTTTCACATTAACTTCCTTCTCTAGCTCTACATTCCCATTTAAAGAAAAAAAAAAAAGAGTAGGATGGATGTTCAGCTATTGCAAGCCAAAAGACCAAGAGGAAAGAGATATAAACTGTTTTTTTCTTCTTGTGATGCTATAAAGATGAGGTAGAGTAAGTCACTTATCCTTACCTATAGCAAAAATAACCTAGATATTACTTATAAAGTTTAAGATACAAGTAAACTTTCATAGATCTGATTTCCAAACTACATGCATCTTAACTAAATGATTCTTAAGACTTCTTGACAATATGGATGAGAAAAATCAGTTTATTAGCTTTTTAATACTGGTGATACTATGCTAGAGAGTATAAGTACAGAATATACTGCTGTAACTACAGAACGTGATTTAGCACAATGACACTAAGTTTGGTATCAAGTCTTTTTTCTTAATCCCTAATAATAAGCATAGTGTAGTTCAGTAGCTTTGGAAACAAGTTTTAAGATAGCTTATTAAATACCTTTGAAAAGGGTTAGAGAGAAGGATCAGAGGATGTGAACTCTGAATATAGGTATTTGCTTTTTTTCTATTAAAACCAAATTTTGAATACAACAGGTTATAGAAAACAACTTGTTCAATACTGTTCTATCTTAAGCATAAACTATTTTGTTATATTCTATGCAAGCAACGGCACAGCTGCAACACTCCCAAGTTTCAGCCTGAATATGAATGGTTATATAATTATTGGTTAATTTTACTCTTAAAATGTAAGAATTGGCCAAGTGTTAAAGTAGCGCTTGCCTCTGAAAAACTTCCCCCCCCACAATGAAATACAAAATTTGCAAGGAAAAAAAAACATAGTAGCTTAATAAGGCAACTTAATGCAGACTTGGTGCATACTGCCTACTCTATTTTTTAACAAAATCTGTATTTTAAGACATCTAACAGGAGAATATATTTTTTTCTGTAGTGTTTTATAGAAAAAGTACAAACTTACTAGAATTAACCTGAGTTTTCTATTCTATTACACTATCAGAACAGTTGTCCTTGTGAACCTGAGCCTACTTAAGTGACCAAGCCATGCTTCAGTTTTACTCAGTGTTCGCTGTAGGATAAAGTTTATTTCCAGGCAGTTTGGATGTATAGTGTATGTATTAAAAAAAAAAAAAAAGAAAAGGCAGTTAAATGCCAAACAGTTCCACTATAATCTGAATGATGGAAACATAATGACTAACAAATTAGTTACATAAATGAAATAGGTTGCAAGTTGACTTTGATGTGCTTAACCACGCTTGTAATTAAGAAATACCTTAATATTCAAAGATATGATGATCAAAGGCTGAACTGGAATAGGATTTGAAGGGAGTGCCCCTGGAAGCTTCCCCTAGCAATTTGTAGTGCAGATATACTGCAGTCAGCTTCATGACACTTAGGATTTGTCTGCAAAGCATGTTACTGTATAGTCCAGTTTAATCTCCAAAAGGTTGGGAGTTAAAATAAATCCAAAGCATTACTTCACATTTTGACAACTGAGATTCTGGAACAGCCATTTTAGAAGACCAGCAAAGCAATGAATCTTACGTCGTTATAAGCAGAATTTGATAAACTTACGAATGCGAAGCATGGATGCTTAGGATGTATCTGTAGCCCTAACAGGAAAACTTTTAAACCATCTATCACCACACCTTGGCTTGAAGCTCTTCAAGCTGGTAAAGGGTCATTAGTCTAAAGAAATTTAGCATACCCCCACAATATTACTGAAGTTAAGGAATTCTAATTACAAGCATAGAGAAGCAAAATCCCCAGTCTAGTCCAAATAAAACAAAAATAACTGCCTAAATACTTTTTAACCACATTCACACAAGATGAAAAACACCCACTAGTGCTCACTTTAAACAATTTTATTGTGTTCCAAAAAAACACTGCAGTTGGGAGCATACATGTTCCTGTTAAATTATGTCAGAAAAGGGTTTTGTGGCATTAGAGTGTTTATCAGCACGTTACAGTATTTATCCTACTTATTTCCATAACCATAATTTTGAATAAACGTATAGCACAAGTTCAGTTTTACTTTATGCATGCAGGAGTTGCAGAAAGTTTAGGAAAACGGTCTTTTTTTTTCAAGGTAAGAAACACTCCAGCCATTTGATAAAAATGGGAGGTAGTTTTAAGAATATACCATACCAAGTGTCTGAACAGTGCTGTATTACACAGTTAACTTGCTTTTTTGAGATAACTTTATTATTTCATAGGGGAACGGTTCAATTGTATGCTGGTTACAATTTCTTTACACAGACTGCCTGATATAAAGTCCTCTGATCCAAACACTACTTTGATACCTTCACTTTATTTTATAAATTTTCAGTAAGGACTTGAGAGCCAGTGAGCTGCTGGATAGGCTTCCTTCAGGAGCTCAGGAAATCTCGTCTCTAACACTTCTGTGATTTAGAGCCCAGAGGTAAGTCTTTAAACTCCTAGAGAGAGTGGCTGTTTCCAGCTTTACATTTACCTTCTCCTCATGTTAGGGTATCTCCAATAGCAGCAAGTTAAGTGTGTGCAGCTGCTGAAAGCATAGCTTACACACTGAGTAAGGGGCAACAAAATGTTCATGCTAATGAAGCAGTGGGGAACCCCACACTGCTCAGGCCTCTTATACTAGAAAATTTAAGTTATAAAATCCCCTTCTCAGATTTTACAAGACAAGTTCATTTGTTGGCCTTTTTATTAAAAAAAAGTAAAGAAGCGTAAACATTTTCAGATCTTGCATTCTGCCTGATGACAGCATGTTGCCTTTTTCCATGCCTTTTCTTGGCAGACAGTCTTACAGTAGTATTAATAATCATCCTCTTCATCAGAATCCAATACTTTCCTTCTGTTGAACTAAAATGAAATACATGACATGAAAATAGAAGGGTCACAGTATATCCAATGTAGAGCAAGGCTTTCAAACTCCATGCATTTGACAATGAGTACGTTACACGGGAGCAGAACATTCACCGCATCACCTGCAGAGTCCCCACCTGGCATAACAGCACAGGACAGACACAGGGCAGTCTGTCTCACAACAGAACACTGAGATCCCAGTGCCAGTATCTGCAAATTTTACTATTGGTAAGAACTGCTATGATTCAATCCCAGCATTTATCAGTGTAAGTAAGAGAGGTGATAAAGTTAAATTCTAACCCGATCTGAAATGGTCCAATACATCCAATATTTCTGCTCTATTTTATAACACATTACAATTACATTTAGGAAATAAAGCTTACTTTTACTGTTGTTTTCTTTTCTGTTTGCTGACTCACTTTTTCAAGTATTTCTATCAAACCTTGTTCCGAGACCTAGGAAAGCAAAAGAAAAGCCATATAAACACATTCTGAGAGATGCTTAGTATCAAACAACTGAATCACACTTTCCCTTCTTATAAAAGGTGTTTGATGGAATTACAGAATAGTATTTAGAAGCTCTCAATTGCCTTTTTCAGTTATTTAATTTACAGATATTAAAACATCCAATTTTTTTTAGAGTGAATTAGGTTTGAAAATGAATATATGTGAGAAAGAAAAACATAACTCACCTTTCCAGCTAGCTGTCCAAATCTTGCCATCTGTATAAGATAATTCTCTACTGCTTTTGCTTTGTCTGGTTTCACAAGTGCTAAATTGCTCACTACAACAAAAACAGGCTCTGTTCATTTTATTTTAAAACGTACTCAAATACCTTCACTAGTAACTAAAAAGTAACAAATGTCGCTAATGAAACAGTCGTCTTCATGCCAGGGTCATGAAATAAACTGAAAAAAGCATTTTCATTTATGTAAAATAAAGATACAAGATAGTAATATTTCTTACTTCTAAATATTTGTGCCTAATTAGATTAGCTATTTTTGACTCTCACTACAATTCCTACTGTTAATTAAAAAAACCCCTTTGATTAACATAATTCAGATGTCAGTTAACCCCTCCCCTCCAATCATTGATATCACCAACTGAAAAGCTGTAATAGTTTTATCTTCCCAGCAACAACAGTATTTTTCTTGTCTGGCCTCTATACAAGCACATATGTGCTTGATTTGAGCAGCACTGGCGTATACTAGATGAGAATTTTTTATTAGAAAGTTACTTGGATACTTACATCTTGCACGAGCTGCTTGATCAAGAACTTGAGCTAAAATAGTATTTCTTATCTCTGCTTCCCTGTAATGAAAAATTAACCGCACCATTAAAGGTGGGATTTCAAATACCTAAAATGCACACAAACCAGCAAACTACAGAAGACTTCTGATTCATGTAAGTGACTTCTTGAGGTCCCTTCAAACCCTACATTTACATGATTCCTTTTATAGTTTGCTGTCATAAGTAGCTCTATGTATGTTAACAAAGTTACATGGCTGACAACATCTTCCAAGAAATCAAAATGGAGTTTACTACTTATACCTTCTTACTGCTTGTTATTACATCTTAAATACAAAAGCCATGCTACCCACTGTAAAGATTCGGCATTCAGTTCCATGTGGAATTCAATCAAAGGCAGCTGTGGTAGCGCAGGCGTAAGGAATAGTCCATGCAATTGCAAGACAGAACCAAACCTCATTATGTATTTAGAATTTTTCAGTAAGTCTTCATATACTACAATATTTTACTAAGTATCTGCAAAATTGGAATTTTAGTTTATGCATTTCAGTTAATACAAACTTTGCCTGTGTGTGAAGTCTAGCTCTTCAAACACTTATTTTCAATTTTCCACTTAGTGCAAATACTAAACGCTGTTTCCGCACTAAGTTCTGACATGAATCGTTCTGTTTCATATTTTTAACTGCAACAGATGTCCCAGAAAACTCAAATCAACCAGGAAGGCATGTTCCCATTGCACTAACAGAGCCAAACTCACTCGGACAAAACTCCAATTTGGGAAGGGTTCTGCCAGCCTTCAAGGTTTTCTTACGACCAACCCCAAAAAGCCAAGGTTTCTGAGTTCCAGAAGATGACAGGGGAGCAACGATGCTTCCCCCTGACCCTATTGTATCACTAAGGGTCATGAGGTTATTGCACTCAGCTGAGTCCCAAAGTGAAAATGAGCTGCTACTCATGTTTTCCTCCCAGCCCAGCCAGGGTTCAGCCTGCCTGACAGCTCTGTTTTAGATCATCCAATATAGTCATGGCCTGGGAGCCACACTTGGATCAATCGGGTTTTAGCTATCCTTAGATTAAATCTTCGACTTTTCAGCTTCTTTGATAGTAGTTTTTCCAACAACAAAAAAATTCAGGTGAATATTCCAAAGAAATTAAATACACACACAAAAAAAGTTCAAAATTATTAGATGTAAGACCAAAAGTCAACAGTTCTCATTTGTACCTTTGTTTTGCTTCCTGTTGTGATGGATCACTGGAAGGATCCTAAAGAATGAGATCAGAATAAATACCATCATCCAAAAACATTCCACACAGGACAGTAAGTTTAACTATTCCAGCACAGTCAACGTAAGCTAAACCCGCCTGACCATGGACAAGATCCTGAAAATAAGAATCTGCTGCCCTAGCACATAAATATACCATACTATGCGTTCCTCACAAAGCAGTAACACAAACTAGTGTGATGACTAGTGCTACTGGATCTATCCACAGATTGTTGTAGGTCTGGACATTAAAAGGCCTTCCCATTAGGTCTAAGATAATAAAACTTTCCCAAAGCCCAGAAAACAGACAAAAGGATTTAAAACCCATTGAAGTAAGCTAAAGACAAATGGAATTCAAAGCAACACTTTGTATTTATCAATACAGAAGAAAACACAATCCTAGCATGGTATTTTGGGAGTAATATAGGCAGCCAAGATGACTATTCAGAAGTAAATAAGAAAAAACCCGAACTTTATGTTGAATCTGCACATCAAATTTTATAGGTAACATTTCATAATGTGAAAGCAGAACAGGAAACCATACAGAGAGAGGAAACAAGGCTGATCATAGGTATGGAAGATCGCTTCACAGAAACAATAGAACACAGATACACTTCAGCTCCGAGAACAGACAAGACTGAAAAGACTGGTAATGGCAATCCATAAAATTTCAGTGTCATGGAAAAAAAATCGGGGGAAGGAACGTTTATGTGCTGAACCTTCCAAGGCAGCAGCCAGGGCACCCAAGGCAGGTAGCAGGCCCAAGGCGCCCTGACGGCGATGACTGCTCACAGAGCAGGAGAGGAGGTGGCCGTCGGGGCCCGGCCGGTCCTCACCCTCGCTACCCCGCACCGGGCGTCAGCCACCAAGGCTGCAGTCGGCGACCTTTCCAGCCAAAGTACCGGGCAGGGCCGGACGCTTCCCGCTTCCCACCCGGCCTCCAGCCGAAGCCTTTATTCACGGAGAGGCCTCCTCAAGGCGCGCCCCTCCTCTCCCCCGTTCCCCCTCCTGCGTTCCCGAAAGGCGGCCACCACACACACCCGAGAGAGGCTCGGGCGGAAGGACAGGCCCTGCCGCACCCG